AGTTCAAAATACTGGTCATAAGGATGTTCAAGGAACACAGTGAGGACCTCAGCAGCATAAAAAATGTCCAGTCAGAAATGAATGATACACTAATTGAAATAAAAAAACAATTTACAGTGAAACAGTAGAGTGGGTGAAGCTGAGAATCAAATAATTAATTTGCAAAATAAGGGAGCAAAGAATAACCAATCAGAACAACAATAAGAAAAAAGAATCCAAAAAAATGAGGATAATGTCAGCAGGCTCTGGGACAACAAGCATTCCAACATTTGCATCACATGGGTGCCAGAAGGAGAAGAGAAAGAATGAAAAATTGGAAATCTATTTGAAAAAAAAATGAAATAAAATTTCCTACTTTGGTGAAGGAAATAGACATGCAAGTCCAGGAAGCACAGAGAGTCCCAAGAAAGATGTATGCAAAGAGGCCCATTCCAAGACACATCATAATTAAAATGCCAAAGGTTATAGATAAAGAGAGGGTCTTAAAAGTAGCAAGAGAAAAGTACTTGGTTACCTCCAGTGGAGTTCCCACAAGACTTTCAGCTGATTTCTCAAAAGAAACTTTTGCAGGCTAGAAGGCAGAGGCAAGAAATATTCAAAGTCATGAAAATCAGGGTCCTACAGTCAACATTGCTCTAACCAGCAAAGCTATCATTTAGAATGGAAGGGCAGACAAAGAGCTTCCCAGACAAGAAAGAACTAAAGGAGTTCATCATCACCAATCTGTTATTATATGATATGTTAAAGGGACTTATTTATGAAAGAGAAGATCAAAACTATGAACAAGAAAATGGCAAAAAATACATATCTATGAACAATTGAACCTAAAAAACAAACTAAGCAAACAAAAAGAACAGGGACAGAATTCTGGATACAGAGAGCAGTTTGGTGGTTGCCAGATAGGAGGGAGATTGTGAGAGAAAGGGTTAAGAATTGAGGGGATTAAAAAGTACAAATAGGTAGGTACAGAATAGCCATGGGGATGTAAAGTACAGTATAGGAAATGGAGTAGCCAAAGAACTTATAGTCATGACCCATGGACATGAACAATGGTGAGGGGATTGCCTGAGAGAGTGGTGGGTGTTGGGTGGAGGGGGGCAAAGGAGGAAAAATTGGGACAACTGTAGTAGCATAATTGATAAAATATAATTACAAATAAAAGGTAAAGTAAAGTAAAATAAAAAAAAGAATAAGCACAGACAGACCATATAAAACAAAGAAAAATAGCTACTTTGGGATGTTCGGTGTGAAAGGGAGAAAAAAATTGGTTCAGTAGTGGGGTCAAGGAAGAATATTTTATCTGCTTTTTAAAGCTGAAAATGATAAGAACAAGGAGGTACTGTTTATACAAAAGAGGAGATCCTGAAAAGTGAAAGTCCTTTGGAAGGGCACAGAAACTAGAGCCTAATTCAAATAAGTATTTTTAGATAAGAAGCTGGAAATGTTGTTAAACACTCTAACAGGACAGAAAAGAGAAGAAATGTTAGGTACAGATGTTAGGTAAGGATGTTAATGGGTTGATGGTGGGAAATTGATGAATTTTATAACTATTATTCTTAATTATAGTACCTTTTAGTGAAAAAAAATTAAACTCTTAACTGAAATTAAAGAGGGACGGTATAATGGGGAAGAATTTGAAAAAATGCGGAATAAGTTTTATGTATCCTGCTTTCATTTCTTCTCATATTTCCCCTCTTAAATCCCTTCCATTCACACTTTAGCCCCACTCTGCTGCCCAAACCACTTTTCCCAAGTTTCTGAAAGTTCCTCCCCATTGTCATAAACCCAGTTTATAAGTGATTTGAGCTGATAAATCTGAGCTGATCACTCTGTCGTCTTTCGTAGATATTCCTCTAGTACCTTCCAGGACACTATGCTTTCAGTGTTTCTCCTGCCTCACTTGACATTTTTATTTCTTAGTCTCCTTTGCTGGTTCATCTTCTTCCCAAATTATTGAATTTGGAGCGCTCTAGTCTCAGTGGTTGGACTTTTCATTTCTCTCTCTATTATTCCATCAGTGTTCTCACCTTGTCTCCATTTATATTTCTAGTCCAGGATACCTACCAGATGCCAGTCCTCTACTCTTCATTTTACTCTAGATTTCTAATAGATATCTTACTTAAATGAAATCTAGATTTTCTCCTACAAAAACTATTCCATACACTGCCTTCCCTTCTCCATTGACAAGACTACAGTTTTTCATTTACTCAAGGCCAGAAACTCTAGTGTCAAGTTTTATTCTTTTTCTTTTTGAGTTTTTTTTGTATTAGAAATTCTATTATTGTCTATTCAAAATATATGTAGAATGTGGTTATTTCATACATTATGTGCTACTGAGCCATCGTTAAGTTTTGCTGGATACTACAATATCCTTTCCCCTATACCCTTGCCTTACAATAATTTATTCTGAACACATCAAACAGAGGGATTCTTTGCAGAATAAGTCAGTTTATGACCCTCTTCTGCTTCAAGTCAGCAGTGCATGAGAAGGTAAGCCTAGGTCCTTAAAACACTCGGGAGGGCCTCTGAGACCTGGCCTTCTGACACCTCGCCATCTGCCCTGCAGCACTGCCTTTCCCACTTGGCTCCAGTCCTGCTCACCTTCTTGCTGAGCCTGGAATGTGCCATTATCCTGCCTCAGCATCTTTCATTCTTTCTCAATCAACTCTATCACATTTTATCATTTCTAGTTCATTGTAAAAATTTGCAAGCTTAATTTTACCTCAAACAATATGGTTAAGTATAGTGGTTTTCAGTCTGGTTCTAAGATAACAAATTTCTAGGTTCTTTGTGCGTCTTTTTTGGTTTATTATTGCTGCTCATTCTCACTCACATTTTCTTCTTTATTTTTCTGGGTCTGATTGTGTATTGGGTATATTCTACTTGAAAATTTATTTATAGTAATTATGTGAGGCCTCAGAAAATATTATCATACTATAGAGAGTCTTTTCTTTGCTTCTGGCAGACACTAGGAGCCCTAGCAAAAGAGGATTACTTTAATTTAATCTAAGGTTTTAAGATGATTTTTTTCTAAACAATCATTTTTAGATGGTTTGAGGACAGGCTGAATCCCATGTGAGATCTTCTGAATCACCCTTACTTCTGGGCCTCAATCTATTCTTGGCTCCGGAAACTCTGACTTTTATCTCACTACACCTCTGAGAATGTCAAATATTTGGACCAGCTTCTCATGCTACTCAACATTATTTGCAAATACCCCCAAGGTAAAAGCAGATCTCAAATGCTGGACTCCTCTCTTCAGGTTCCCATTCTCTCCTGATCTTGCCCCCAAATGCTTCATTAGCTTATCAATTTTTTTAAATAAAATATTTTCCAATATTTTGCTCAAATTTGTTATTATCTATTATGGCAGGATTGCTTTGAGTTCCTTAGCCACCATTCTCAAAGGTAGAAATTCATATAAGAACTTTGCACATGTTCCATTTTGTTGGAATGATTTTTCTCTAGATACCCACATAGCCAGCTCTCTCACCTCCTTCAAGTCTTTGCTCTAATGCCACCTTCTGTAGATTGACAATCCTGTTTAAAATTCTAAGTACTCAGCACTCTTGACTTTTACCCTCAGCACTCTTCATTTTCTTAAAATTTGGGTGGCTGTATATGTATACAGTGTCTGACTAAAATCACACCTCTTTTTTATTACAAAATCATATGTGTGTAATTCTGTAACATAACAGTATTACACTCAATCATGCCATATGACCTTTTAGGTGAAATGTTCAAATTAGCACTATAAATTATTACACCCATATTATTACCCTACCAACCACACTAAAGCAGGCCTTTCTTCTGCAAGACTCTGTATGTGTGTATGTGTTGGGGGGGGCCGTGTGTGTATTTGGGAGAAGCAAAGAAGGTATACTTTGGATGAATGCTCCACCCAAGGCTTCAGATTATTTCTACTCTTTTTTGTAATGATTTTGCCACCTTCTAACATACGATTTTATTTACTTATTATTGTATTGTTTATCTCCTGCTGAAATGTAAGCTCCCAAGGGCAGGACATCTTTGTCTCTTTTGTTCACCGACAATTCTGAAGTGTGCAGAACAGTTCCTGGCAGACAGTAGATACATAATAATATTTGTTGTATAGGTGAATGAATTAAATAGCCACCTCATTTCAGGAAGTGGAAAATTGAGGCTATAAGAGAAAAATTGGGGACTTACCAGGGAGTATTGAATGCCCATTTGAAGTTTATTGTCATTAATTTATAATGAAATCAATTAGCTTGATTGAGAGAGTTTTCCCAGTAGTATTTTGCTTCTCAGGTGTAAGTTCAGAGAAAATGGTTAAGGTCCATCCAGGCTGTGTACATGTTTGGAGGGCTGGGTTCACAAGGAGAAAGCAAGGCAAAAGAAAAATAACGTATAAAGTGACTGAGAATGTGCAATATACATAAAATAAGAGGTAATAATGCCCAAATGGAGCTGGTAAAGGTCAATGATTTTGAAGTCTCAACAAAGCTGAGGCTGAAGAAATGTTGTGTTAGGGATATTTGAGAAATGAAGATGGTGGCTAGGAGGTATCACTCTGAGAACTGAATGTTAGAAATTGAAATTTTAGAGGTTTCCCATTAAAGTATAGGAATAACCCTGGAAATGAATGCTTGAAATGGAGTGGAGGAGAATATCTTTGTAGCTAAACAGATTAAAGAATTGAGAGTACGGAGTCTTCTATGTGAGTTTTGAAGTAGCCAAAAATTATGTAAGGAACTATTATGATTCATGAATAAACATCATCAATAAATAAGGGAAATTTTACTAGAAAGCTGATAGATAACAGCAAGGAAAAGTAATAAAATGATATAGTTTAATAAAATGATTTTCAAAGGAACAGGGGATTTTGTATAAAAAAGAGGGAGTAATGGTTAGAAAGTCTTAATAAGAAAAAAAAATAGGGGAACACTTATCCTAGAAGTTAAATCTTTTAGTATTTTATTGATTACTCCAGTATTATAATTACTTTTATTTTCGTGCAGAAGCCTACAACTCTTCCAAGAGCAGCTGGTCGAGAAACCAAATATGTAAGTCCTTTCATAATTATATGCACTACTTCTTTTGGTGAGAACATGTGTATGCTTTCAAGGCTACTCAATTATACAGTCATTTAAATTGAATTAGTTGATTTTTTCATAAGTGGAAAGGATTAAGATGGTATGATCGACCCAGATGTAGAAAATTGGTGTATGTCAGGTAAGTTTATTGAAATAAATTCTTTAAGTGAGGTCTAATTTGATTAATTTTGCTAAGTAAAGCAGAACGTCAACACCTGCTTTCTGTCTTTCTAATAAAGCTTAGATGACATTCTCATTTCTGTAATGGTTTATGTGGTTATTATACAATAGTCAACTCATATACTTGAAACAATTTGTCCTTTTCTAATAGGATTGTCAGTTTAGTTGATTTTTAGCAAGTAAACCAATTTTCACTTATGAACAAAATAGATTAATAATTAATGTATAGATACAGACTCATACACGTGATTGAAATAATTATGTGTAACTGATTCTGAATGTCCTAGACACATGCACAATTGGCTTTGCCCTAATACTCTATCATGTGGCCAATTTCTGCTTCTGTTTAAGCATATGAGGGGAGCCCCAAAATCCCAAATTTATTTTTTAAAAATTGTGTATTTATTCTTGCATGTTTAAAATTTGGTCACCTTCAAAGTCCTCTCCATTTGATGCAATTCACCTGTTGAGACATTTTTTCCACTGTCCAAAACGGTTTCTGAAGTTGTTGATTTTGATGCCTCTTAGTGCTTCTGCCATTTTTGTTTCATCTCTTCCATATCAGCAAAACATTTTCCTTTGAGGACTTTTTTCCTCCAGGGAAAAATAAAAAGTCACTTGGGGTGAGATCAGGCGAATAGGGAGGGTGGAGCACAGGGGTCATGTCATTTTTAGTCAGAAACTGCTGAAAACTGTTTGAACATGCTGACTGTTCAAAAAATTGGTGTGGGCAGGTGTGCTTGTACATCATCCATCATGAAGTGAACAAACATACTGAGTCTTCAAAAAAATTCACTGAAGCTGAATGCAGCCTATGACACCACTACCAGCTGGCACATTGATATAGATGGGTTCCTAGAACATTCACCTAGCAGGGGAAGCCTGTATTACAAGGGGCCTGCCTGCCAGAAGATAATTTTTTCGGGGGGGCCCTCATATTATAGTAGAAACAAGATTGTTTCCTAACAAGTTTTTACTTTAATACAAACCATTAAACTATTTATGTTATTTTACATAATATTTTCTAATATGTAGTTTTATCATTATCATCACCATGAGTAAATAGTTACTCAGTTTACATATTGTGACCTACCTTTTTACAATGATAAATTTCTGCCTTCATTTGAATCTCCGTAAGGCAAATAATAAACTGGGTGAAATTGCTCAATTTTATCACATTCAGGAAATGATGTTTAGAGGACATGGGTAGGAACACTGCCTAGAGCATTTTCTAGAAGTTTGTACTATTAATTTTTGTCATTATTGGAGACCATTTGAAGTAATATTTAAAAGACTGGAGGCATTTAGTAGGCTTGACTCAAGTTCACATCATAGCATTGCTGCTTGGTAACTGTCTGATCCCAGAAAATCACTTAACATCTCTGTGCCTCAGGTGTTTTTTTTTTATATCATATAGGGATAGTCATAACCTTGTTTGGCTGAGGTAAGGTTTAGGCTGTTGATGTATGAAAAGCCCTTAATGTAATTCTGACACACAGGAATCACTTAATAAGTAACAGTTTTTTTCCTCTTTTTTACCCCTTGCTTTCTCTTTGTCCCTGCCTTCTCCCTTATTTTCCTACCATCTACCTCGGAAAGACTAGAGGCAGCATGATTTAGCTGAGTTCTTTCATTCTTGAGTACAAGAAAAGAAAATATCCTAAAGATGTTTCTATACTTTGTGTGACTAATACGTTTTATAAGAGTAAGACCAGGGAAAGAGTAGCTAGAATTTTTTTTTCTCTCACCTTTCTTTCTTCATTACTCCTACTTTTTATCAGAGTGCTTCTTACTCAGAATCACTTACAATAAGGTGCAGAGGGCTGATGTCTTCTTCCAGCCCTTCCTGAAGGTGGTTAATTTGATAGGAATTGGATAAGTCTGGAGGGGCTGCTTCAAGCTTCATAGTAGTTATTTGAAATTGTCCTTCAATCAGTTACCAGATTTAAAGTTGGATAACATTTGCTCAAACTTTATGAGAGCATTTGAGTCACTTGAGGTTTACACTGAATCATCAAACAAATTAGTATAAACTAGAAAAAATACAAACTGATTCAGATAAGATTCTTAACTTTGATTAAATTTGTTTTTTTCAGGGAGAATCTTTGCTTTGTACTTTCTCTTACAATCTGACATTTGAATTGTTGTTTGTGATACCTCAAATACTTTCTTATAGAAATTAGAGAAGAGCTGGCCAGAGAACTGGTCAATGTTAAAACAAACTTATAAAGTTGCTACTAGTTTCCAATGTATTGGTATATCCTTTGGATTTCCAAATTTCCTAAGATAATTGCAAATGGTTTAATTAAATAATGAGAAATTGTATGACCAATTCCTAATTACAGGACCTTTAGTGAAAAGCTGACTTTTATCCATTAAAAAAAAGACAAGAAAACCAATATAACACAATCAGTTTCCCTTTCTTATTCTTCACTTTACATATTTTTACATGTCCTATAGTGTTTTATAGAATGACCCAGAGGCAGTAAAAGTACCATCAAGTCAGAATAATTAAAGTCAAGGTTTTCTCCAATTCATGGTGACCTTGAGTTGCAGGTTGTTTTAAAGTACAGTTGACCCTTGAATAACAGTTTTGAACTGCATAGGTCTACTTATATTTCAATAAATAATATGTGTTTTTTCTCTTCCCTATGATTTTCATAATAATATTTTCTTTTCTCTGTTTTATTGTAAGAATATAGTATGTAATACATATAACATACCAAATATGTATTCATTGGCTTTTTAAGTTATCTGTAAGGTTTCATGTCAACAGTAGGCTATTAGTAATTAAGTTTGAGAGGAGTAAAAAGTTATATGTGGATTTTTGACTGTGTAGGGGGTCAGCATCCCTAATTCCTGCATCATTCAATGGTCAACTGTGACTTAATTTAGGTTCTCTTAAGTGTAATAAAATTTAAACTATGCTAATGATATGTTGAGTGATCTTCACTGGTCACTTGTTGAATTGACTATATTGATTTGTCATCAATATTTCACTGGATTGTTTTTAACAGATGCCAAATTCAACAACAGTAATAACAACTATTGTTTTAGTGACTGCCATGACAATGTATCCGCTTGAGCTAAAGCCGACTCTACAACTCTTGTTTTAAATTCTTACCTTTCAGTTAAGGTTTAACTATCTCATTTAACCCTACATTAATCCCATGAGGTGGATATTGTTAATACAAAGTCTCCATTTTACAGAAGAAGTAGCCAAATGTCAGAAGTCATAGTAGGCAAAACCAACCCAGGTCTTCCACACGTCAAAGCCCTTGTCATTAGTACTTATGTAAATCTACCAAAGCTTGAAACAATTTGTCTTCCTTACATAGTTTATCCTAAGTATTTATTCTTTGGGTCTAACTTATCTCTTCATGTCCAATTTCCTTCATTCTAACTTTGAATAAGTAATCTCATATTTGGTAACATATGATGATAATGTTTTTCTATATCGCTAGTGTTTTAAATCACTTGCTTATACTTAAATTAACTAATAATTTATCAGATAATTTATAAGTGATTATTTCAGGTGACACTCATTTTTTTAAAGAGTTTCTTTCCTTCTATGTAAAGGAATAAATTATCTATTTAAATTTCTGTTTTATTCTGTTTTAACTCTATTATCTTTGGAGGTGAATAATATGATTAATTTGTTAAAAAAAAAACCTAGGTTGGAATCACATTATGTTGATGACAACTTATATTATAAACTGTGTACATTTCACAAGCTGCTTTTAAATTCCAGAGAATAGCAGAGACAGGTATACTGAATATTATGTAGAGTACAGGTAACATCTCATTTTAATGAGCTTGAGGGACAGAAAATATCATTACAATTGCATACATATTGCTTTTTAATAAAGTATCACAATATATTAAAAAGTATGAAATTTTATTAAAAAATTCTTCACTATAAAAGGAAACCCTAGTACACTTTGGTGGAAATGCAGACTGGTGCAGCCACTGTGGAAAGCAGTGTGGAATTTCCTCAAAAAGCTGAAAATGGAACTGCCTTTTGATCCAGTGATTCCCCTGCTGGGACTATACCCTAAGAATACCAAAACGCCAATTCAAAAGAACCTATGTACTCCAGTGTTCATAGCAGCACAATTTACAATAGCCAAGTATTGGAAGCAACCTAAATGCCCATCAGTAGATGATTGGATCTACTGATCTAAAAAATTATGGTACATATACACAATGGAATAGTACGCAGCAGAAAGAAAAAAAGAACTACTAAACTTCGCGACAGCATGGATGGAACTGGAGAGCATTATGCTAAGCGAAATAAGCCAGGGAGCGAAAGACAAATACCATATGATCTCACCTATAAGTGGAACCTAACCAACAATACAAAGATGCAAGGAAAATAAGACCAGCAACACTGAAAGGGAAAGACACCAACAGAGACAAGAGGGAAGGAGGGTGGGGCGGGGAAAAGGAAGGGAAGAGGAAAGTCAAGGAACATATAGCAAGGACTCATGGACAAAACCAAAGGGGAAGAGCTGAGGGAGGGAAGGAGGAAGGGGGCAAGGGAAAGTGGTGGGGGGTAAGCAGAGACAGATGTATTTGAAAAAAAAAGTTTCATGCCCAAAAAAAAAAAAAAGTTGAAATCTCTAAAAAAAATATTCTCCACTATATTTATATACAAATAAAGGTCATTTTCTCCAATTTAGCCATCTCACAAACTCCCCTTGTTGCTATGCTTGGAAATATTGCTAGGCTGGAGTGTTTCAGAGGTGATGTGCAATGATGTAGTCATAGATCTCAGGCTAAGAAATAACTTAAAGCCAGGTCTGGGTTCAAATCTGCTCTCATAGGATATAACCAGAGATTTGATGAGTTAAGGAATAGATGTAACAATTTAAGCAAGAAATTCCACTCTACTGATCAGACAGTCATTTATTTTTCTCATTGTTTAGAAATGTTTCTAAGGTGTGCTCATGGGAAAGGGGTTGAGAAGGGAATGGGAGATAATTATCCAGTTCTGCTAGATGAGGAGGAAGAGAAAGGATATAATGAGACATCATTTATGCATTCTATCCTTCTCATTTTTTCAGACCTCATCAAGCATAGATAATGGTGCCATAAGCTAGGCTATAGAATATAGATTATGGGATTTTGTTTCGCAGAAGAGCCATTCTTACACTCATCTCTAATGTTCCTCACAGTCAATATTAACAAGAATAGACATGAATGACAAAAAGCTTAGGGTTGTGTTGTTAAAATATAATTTCAAGTTCATTTTTAGGTACTTTATGTTCTCTACCTTAATTTAATTGACTGACTGACAGTTGTTCATGTAAAGTAGCCTCTTCCCTGCACTCACTGCTCTAGTTTCAACTCACCAAACAATATTTTCTCATTTTTTTGGATAAGAATTGCTACAATTTTAATAACGTAACTATAGCTACAACATTTAATAAGCATCATTAACCTGTATTAGGCAAGGAGAGGGAGTCGTCTTAAAAGGTTTGATATGATTGGGTTAGTGGAAAGAATCTGGTTTATATTCATGAAAATACTCATAAGCCAATATTTTTCTTTTTTGCTGAAGGATCTGCAGTGGCATTATAGTTATTTACTCTACCCTGAAGTTCACATTTATTATTTCTATCCTTCCTCTGGGAATAGTTTCTTGTAATAGTGATATAAAGTCCATTATATTAGCTAAAATAAAAATGTACTGGGGATGTCTAAAGCATCTTATTGTTATGTCATGGTCTCCCGTGAAGGAATTTTGGGGGCTTTTAGAGATTGGATACAAAGTTATTTGAGTTTTTCCCTAATTTAATTAATATGTTTGCTTGAGCATTTTAATTTTTCCCCTATAATCATTTGGTATTATTTAGCTCAGTGTATTGATAAATGTTAGTAATATAATTAAATTGTGGAAATGCTTTATTTTTAATGTATAACCTCTTCTTTCCTATAGTTACTGAGATGAAAATTTAACTATATTTTGTTTGAGTCAAGATGCACTTAATTCAGCATATTTTACAGTAGGTATTAATTAAGCATAGAGATTCTCTCATTATTGCAATAATGAAAAATAAACTAAAGGGAAAAAATGAAGATTTTAGAAGAAATCATTATTTCTCATATTATGTTATGAGGTTAAAAACAAAACTCTAAGTGAACAGAAAAAAATGCTATTGTCAGAAACAATAGGTATTGCAGGAAATGCATTTTAAGGACACATGCATAGGAGGATTTGAAGCGCAGTGGTAAGATTTACTGGAGTATAAACAAAGGACACCATGGTGTACACACAATGTCTCATCCATGACAAGGTGGCTCAGCTCCACCTCACTGAGGAAGAAGTCCTGCCTCTGGGGCCACAGGCCCACACTTGTCCCTACCAAACCTAGGAGAAGGGCCAGGGCCCAGAGCTGGTGTGCCACTATCCCTGTATCCAAGGCTCCAGTCGTCCAGCACAGTCTCTGTTCCCGGCTGGCCAGCTCTTGGAGCTGTGCTATGGCCCAGGGCTGCTGCAGAGACAAAGCACGAACGTGGGTGCTACTGAGATGAGTAGGCTTTCTTTCAAACTATCCAATCTATTTCCTGAATCTCCACAGGGCTATGTTAGTACCTCCCCCTATCCAGTCCCTTTTCCTGAATCTTCCTGGGGGTTGTGCCCTTATCCTATTGAATATTTCCCCGGGTTTCTCTCCTCCCCTTTATGGTTTCCATTTTTGCTCCTGCTGTGCATTCCTCATAGTTAAAGGATCTCCCCCCTCCCAGGTCATCTTGGCTTCTATTATACATGCCTCAGCAGAAGAATTCCCCCTCACTGTTTATCTTTCCCCCTGTTAATCTAGGGAATATGCTGGTTGTTCCTGGGGTGATTGGAAAGCCATCTCTCCTGCCTACCTGGCAATTAGTGTCTTTTTGGTGGAGGATCTGGCTGTTTCCTGGAGTGCCTGTTAAGCTGCCCTTTCCTAGTCAATCTGGCTTAGTTAAATATCTAGCTCACTTCTTTTATCTAAGTTTTAATATCTAACTAGCTGCCTACTGTAACAACACTGTGATGTATATTCTGAAAGACGATTTTCTGCAGCACAGAATAGCCATAAACCTCAGTGCACACTACCTTGGTCTATAGCAGTTAGAGACGGGAGCACTTGGCCAAGACATCCTGCTGCCACAGAGCAGCCAGGAATGGCAGGAGGCAGTGACTATCCTAAAGAATGGCATGACTCAAAAAGCGGAAAACAATGTTGGACACAGTGTGAGAAGAGCTGTAGGTGCTTTTTCATTACGCTTGATGAGTCACACGCCTATATACTTGGGAAGACCATAAGCACCACTATGTTTTCAATATTCAATGTATTTAATCTGTCAGAGAGTAAAAGCCATATTGACACATCTATAATAAACTCTAAAAATGTCTGTTGTTTTAAAAACAATAGAAATGTTTAGGAACACAACTTTATTATGTTTTAGCTATGTATATATATAATTATGCATCTTTATGTTGACTATTCTCCATGAAAGTTGAAGGTTTAGCTGATGTGGGAACTCAGTCCCCCATTTAAATGCAACAATGCTTGGTAAAATATATGGTAACTACTAAAATATGCCTATGTAACCCAACTAAAAGAAAGATAAACCTCTGAATGCCAGAAATGAGGTAAGAGCTTCAAGTGAGAGTGTTAAAAAGAAGCTAAAGCTCCAATGGAATGTAGGTACTTCAGAACCTATGAGCTAAGAGCCAGGAGTTTAGATTTTAACTTTCACTACATAGCAAGTCCTAGGACCTCTAAGATACAGAAGCCTAGAAGGTCACAGTGGACATAAAACATGGAACAAACAAACAAACAAAAGGATAAATCCATCTATTATCTTTACCCTACACTCTTAGTTAGTAAAATAGACATTCAACCTGTGAAACTTAAAGACATGGTCATATGCCACCCTTGAGATTAAGTAATATCGGGGTGATAAAGTGGAAGCAGGTTCAGAGCTAGTAAAACTCTTAGGGCCCAAGAGGGTGAATTTGAAATGTATTGTACAGATCATTTTCCAACCAAGGTCTTCTCAGATCCCTACAAAATTCATCACCAGTTACCCTGACTGAAGATGAACTGAAAAAAGAAAGCCATAAAATGACTAAAGATTATTGTGGGGGAGAGGCGTTAGAGAGAGTCTGTAGATAAAAGAAATAGTAGATTTAGCAGTGAGGGACTATAGAAAAATCTGGAATAAATTTATACATATATTAAAAATATTAAAATAGTTGATAGGAGTTCCAGTTAACATAAGAGATTTGAAAAAGAACCAAATAGAACTTCTGTAAGTCAAAAATAAATTCATTAAATATAATTTAATTGCCATTTTAAACATACAGTTGAAGAAAAATTAAGTAACTATTGGGCTTATATATGGAAACCATCAAGAATGCAACATAATGAGATAAAAAATATGAATGGGATTTTATAGAAATGGCAGATGGACTGAAAAGATCCAATATATATATTTAATAGAAGCTCCATAAAATGGAGATTAATATAATGGGAGAAAGGCAACATTTGAAGGGATATTTATGGAGGATTTTCCAGAATTGAAGAAAGATATGCATACTCAGAATAAAGGAATATACCAAGTCCCACAAAAGGATACAAAGAAAGATATCCACACTCAGAGACATCATAGCAAAATTACAGAATGTCAGGGATCAAAAATACTAAATCCTAATCAAATGTGTAGACAACTGATCTACCAAGTCATGATGTTCAGACTGACAGCCGTAACCTAAGCCAGAGCCAGTGGATGGGACCATCAAGAAGCTGCAGGACAGCAGTTGTTACCTCAGAATTCTATATCCAGTTAAATGAAAACAAAACAAAAATATTTTCAGATAAAGTTCTGGAAAAAACTACTAGAGCATTCACTTCAATAAGAAAAACTAAATTCAGACTAAAGAAGTGAAATACAGAAACCAAGGATGAAGAAATAATACCGCCCTCCTCTTTAATTTAAAACAACTTAAAAAAAAACCCCAACAAATCACTTTATTTCATAAGTCATGAAAACTTTGGGTTTTTAATGTATAAAGATACTTAAAGAAAAATCTGTTTTTGTTTTAATTTGCAGTAAATATAAATATCCAACAATGCTGATATGCTTAAGTAAAATGTGGTACAGAGAATTCAATATTATATGATCTTGAAGAATTTTAGATGTCTTATGATAATGCTTATGCTAAAATGTTCATGGAAATCAATGTATAAAACATCATATTTACTATTATGTGAGCTGAATTAAAACACATGGGAAAAATGTAAGGCAATGTACCAAAAATACTCAAGGACATTTTTGGTGACATAATATTTTTCCTTTAATTTTATGGTTTTATGGAATCTTACAATGAACATATTACTTTAGTAATAAAAAAACTTCAAAGTACTTAGTAATATAGATATATTATTTTATTAAATTATGAGCTTTGCTAAATAAACACCATGTTTATATTTTGCAGGCAAACCTCTCCTCACCATCCTCTACAGTATCTGAGAGTCAGCTGGTACGTATCTTCTCACTAAGTCATAGACCTACTTTAGAAATTTCTGATCCCTCAAGACAACTTTTTCTATCCAAAAGTGAACTGAGAATAAATTTACTACATATAAGTTTACTTGCTTACTTTTCTAATAGAAGTTTACCGATGCTTTCCTAAAGTTCAATGGCAATTGTTTTGCAGGATACAGACATACATAAATCCACACATAGACCTTATTTGCCAGTAACTTTCATTCTAGCAGTGGCATTAGAATAGACTTGGTGGGGTCAGCAGCAAGATATTGGATTTTAGAGAAGGAGAGAGCTCACTTCCTGATGGACGAGGTCGGAAGAGGGTTCAAGGAAAAGGTTATGTTAGATAAGGCAGGGTAGGATTTGGCCTTAAGAAAGTGGAAAACAAGGTATTTCAGAAAGAAAGATTATCATGAGGATGGTCTGGATCAGTGATGAGCAGCAGAAATATAATGAGAATCATAAATGCAAGCCACATATGTCATTTAAAGTTTGTTAGTAACCACTTTAAAAAAGTAAAATCAAACAGATCAGATTCAATACTATATTATTATTTGTTCGATTATATTATATATTATATTCTGTAACAATGTATTATTTATTATTATATATTAAATAACATCTTGATAATGATAACATATATCATCATTTCAACATATTATCATTATAAAATTCAGATATTTTACATTACTTTTTTGGGATACTGTCTGTGAAACCCGCTGTGTATTTTACATTTACAGCCCATCTCAAAAGCAGACTAGCCGCATTTCAAATGTTTGATGCAAGGACTATTGACCACTGTTCTGGAGACTCTAGAATCTGTTCTATATAGATAAAAACTTGATTAAATTGGAGAATTACTTTTTCCTAACAAATTGAAACCATGAAGTAAGTTACCTATTACTAGTTAGAGATTTCCTTTGTAATTTTAATTTTTATTGTTTTTAAATTGAAAATTCCTGAATAATATGCATGTCCGGTGAAACTAATGAAAATTTCTAGGCCCCTTCCAGCCAAGATGGAGGCATAAGTAGGTACACATTGTCTCCTCACACAACCAAAAGAAGGACAACAACAAATTTAAAAACAAAAAATAACCAGAACCATCAGAAAATTGAGCTGTAGGGGAGTCTGACAACTAAGGAGTTAAAGAAGAAACATTCATCCAGACTGGTTGGAGGGGGGAATATAGGCAGCCAGGGCAGAGAGGACGCACAGTAAGGCAGTGTGGCTGGAGGACCGGGTGGTCCCATATTTACATGTGGAAAAACTGGGAGGAACAGCTGGGGAGCAAGACAGACTGCACAATTCAGAGTTCCAGTGCAGGGAAAGAAAGCCTCAAAACCTTTGGCTGTAAAAATCTGTGGGGTTTGTGGCAGTGGGAGAAACTCCCAGCTTTACAGGAGGTTCTTTGGAGACACCCACAGGGTCCTAGAATGTACACAAACCCACCCACCGGGGAATCAGCACCAGACGGGCCCAATTTGCTTGTGGGGTAGTGGGAAACATGACTGAAAGCTGCTGAGAGCCGAGCAAGTGGCATTGTTTCCTCTTGGACCCCTCCTCCACATACAGCATCACAACACCAAGACCTAGGTTGCCCCACCCTGGTGAATACTTAAGGCTCCACCCCTTCCAACCAAACAGGAGCACAGAGACAAAGAAATATGGCCCAAATGAGGGAACAGATCTAAGCTCCAAAATTAGAACTAAGCTATGAACAGATAGCTAGCCTATCAGATGCAGAGTTCAAAACACTGGTGATCTGGATGCTCACTGAATTGGTTGAATATGGTCACAAAATGGAGGAAAAAATGAAGGCTATGCAAAGTGAAATAAAGAAAAATATATAGGGAACCAACAGTAAAGGGAAGGAAACTGGGACTCAAATCAACAATTTGGAGCAGAAGGAAGAGATAAACATTCAACTAGAATAAAATGAAGAAAGAAGAGTTAAAAAAAAAAAAACAGGAGAGGCTTAGGAACCTCTGGGACAACTTTAAATGGTCCAACATCTGAATCATAGGGGTACCAGAAGGAGAAGAGGAAGAGCAAGAAATTGAAAAACTTATTTGAAAAAATAACAAGGAAAATTTCCCCAATCTGGTGAAGGAAATAGACTTCCAAGAGACTCAGGAAGCTCAGAGAGTCCCAAAGAAGTTGGACCCAAGGAAAGACACACCAAGGCACCTCATAATTACATTATCGAAGAGTAAAGATAAGGAGAGAATCTTAAAAGCAGCAAGAGAAAAGGAAACAGTCATCTACAAAGGAGTTCCCATAAAGCTATCAGCTGATTTCTCAAAAGAAACCTTGTAGGCAAGAGGGAGCTGGAAAGAAATAAAGTCATGAAAGGCAGGGAACTACATTTAAGGTTACTCTATCCAGCAAAGCTATCATTTAGAATGGAAGGGCAGATAAATTGCTTCCCACATAAGGTCAAGTTAAAGGAGTTCATCATCACCAAGACCTTACTGTATGAAATGTTAAATAGACTTATCTGAGAAAAAGAAGATCAAAATGTAACAGTAAAATGACAACAAACTCACAACTATCAACAACTGAACCTAAAAAACAGAAACAAACTAAACAACTAGAACAGGAACAGAATCACAGAAATGGAGATCAGAGAGGAAGTCAAGGGAGAATGGGGGAAAAGGTACAGGGAATAAGAAGCATGAATAATAGGTACAAAATAGTCAGGGAAGGGTTAAGAATATTATAAGGAATGGAGAAGTCAAAGAACTTATATGCACGACCCGTGGACGTGAACTAAGGTGGGGGGAATGCTGGTAGGAGGGAGATGTGCAGAGAGGAGAGGAATAAAAGAGAGGAGAAAAATGGGACAACTGTAATAGCATGATCAATAACATATATATTAAAAAAAGAAAATTTCTAGTAAAGCAGTTTGAGACATTAAGGAAACAAAATCATTATTTAATACTGATTTTTTCTCCTTTAAAAACAATTGTTTTAGTGTCCTACTTCCATGACCAACAAAATGACTTGTTGTTTTCATGCCACAAGGACAAAACTATTTTTATTTTGTCGGAAAAATCATAAAAGGGTAGTTTAACTCTTAAAATAACCTGATTCAATCAAACCACTTGGATATGTTGGTGTTCATCCCAATAGTGCGTATATATGGAATGTGTTGGCGCGCGTGTGTGTGTGTGTGTGTGTGTGTGTGTAATTTTAATGTCAATTGGTTTTGAACAGTGGTAGGCAGTATAATGTTGTTGAAAGAATGCTGGAATGGGGGCCAAAAGATCCACCCAGACTTCCTGCTCTGACACTAACTACTGGGCTGACAGTCGATAAGTCATGAATCTGTGAGTCTGGGCCTCAAACTCCTAACTGAACAATGAGAGCATTCTCTTACATAGGAACTTTCCAAGCCTTTCTAGTGTTGTGAGTCTGTCATTACTAACACAGTGAAGTGAAGGAGTTGCCATGGAAACTAGTACTGCAATAACATAATAAAGCTGAACAGTTTCCCACTTTAGATATGAAAATATTACTACAACTATTTTAATATTTCAAATAATGACATTTTTCTTGAGAATAATGTTGAAAATCAAGAATATTTTTAATATTCCTCATATGCAATTGTACTCAGTAGTATAATAAATACAGATTTTAGATAGTGAATGATTAAATATATACTTAGTTATATACAAATATTTTTTGGGGGGTATATATATTATCAGGCTGACATATTTTGAGAGTTCTTGGCTTAATATTTTAAGAAACTTTCAAAAAGGCAAATATATATAATGACTTTATAAAATAGGACATAGTAAAAGCAACTCATTGTAAATGTAATATATAAACCTCTTCCTGTATTGTAAAATAATTCCATAAATTCTATGTATTTGTTCTCTAGGGAGAAAAATACAAAGCATTGCTTTGACTGACTTTGATGATAATTTCTTTGCATTTACTTTAGACCTTTTCTCTAAAGAGTTCAAGGAAATTTTTTACCAAGTTTTAAATTAAATTTTAATACCCAAATGCCCTTGAGATATAGGTGGGTTTGTGAAGTGATTGTAATCAAGTAAGCTTATCACATAAAAAAAAGAACATTTCCTGCATTGATATAATTATTTAATTCAATCACATTGACTTCATTTCATGACATTAACCCTGTACTTACATTACCTGGGAACAAAATAGATTAGAAATAATTCCATGCAGTGATGTTATATGGCATTTGCTTTTTAAGGATTTATAATATTATTACTTTTAAGTAATATAATTTATAAATAACAGTATACTTTTTCACTTTTATGAATTAATTTTCAATATTTGCCATAATGAATTCTCTTCAGGATTAAGTTCTGAATTAATAAATAAGAATGCTTTTGAAAAATAAAATTATATACATGTATGCACACATAAATATGTGCTTATACACACATATAGATGCCATATGACAGGTAATTCTGATGATACATATTGCTTTTTGTTCACATATGAATCCATGTGCGTGTGGAAGGCAGAAAAACAAAATTACTGGGAAACGTGATAGATTATAATTAAATTATGTAAGTGAATATATGTTTTATATAAGATAAGTAAAAATTATTTGACTCCTATTTTAGGCAAGAAATGTAATAAACTGGTTGAATTAAAAGTATGTAATAAAATACTGTGGCAGCAAAAGCCTAGTACAGAAGCCATTTTGTTTTTGAGAATTGGCTTTTTAAGAATATATCACTTTTTCATAATCGTTTTCTTTTTAACTTGGCTTACGCATTTGCTTCTTTACACTGCCACTGTGCCAATTCAACATTGGAATAAAAAAAAATGACCTGACCCCTACTCTTTTCATTCTTTACTCTGGAAGCCAAATTATTTAGTAATGAGCTCAGAGATAATAATTTGGGGGCTATTATGAAACTAATTCACCAATCTGTGCCTCAGTTTCTTTTTTTCTTTTAAGCAATATCACAGTACATCAAAACTGGAAAGAGACTGAGAGTTGAGGGT